TATAAGAAAAGATTTGAAAATAGTGTTTGTAGGGAATCAAGACTAGTTTGATATATATGAGGCTATCTTTTTTAATTTTGATCAACCCGTGTATAGCCGATTTCGAAATGATGATTTATATTTTAGAATTGATGATTTCAATTTAATTGAATTTAGAACAGGAATGAATTGAATTAAAAGGGCAAATTCATCCTTTACATGGTATGTATATATTTTATTTTTTGTATTGATTCTAAATTGAATTGAAATCGAATTAGAACCACTAATTTCAATTAGGGTTCTAATTTTCAAGAATCTAAACTGAATCGAATAACCCCAATTTTAGTTCGGTTTAGAATTATAAAATCATTTACCTAATTCAGTCTTAGTTCAATTTAGGTCAATTTCTTTTATAAAACTTTTTTACTAATTTCTTTTGTAAAATCCCACCTTTTCTTTTATAATACTAAGATACTCCTCAACTTATAAATAGGAATTTTTTTTGACCGAAAACATGAGAGAAAATAATACATGGGTGTTTATATAAAAGAAGAAAAATTAGGAAACTTTGCAAGAAAATAAAAAACAAACAGCTCCACAGAATATATATATATATATATATATATATATATATATATATATATATATANATATATATATATAATTTTTCTACAAAATTCACCCAAGAATTAGTGTAGTGATCATAAAATGAGTGCAAACAATTACTCTTGCTCGAATAACACTCAGCTTCCAAACCAAGAAATGAAGAAAGAAATAGAAACCTCACCTAATTATGTACAATATGCACTTTAGAAAAGAATTAATATGAATATATGCCTATTTTTCATGCATTTTTTCAACAAACAGAGAAAAAAAAAACACTTCTGCTGCTATTTAAACTACTCTATGTTAGGATCAGGGGTGAATTAGTACACGGTAAAATAACGTTGGTTTAAAAAAATCTTTGTACGATAAAACATATTTCGACGTAGAAAATCGATTTCGGAAGATGTTTACGTCAAAGCGTAAGTAAATGTAGTTAAGCACAGTAAGGAGGAGAGCCAGTTTGCTATAAAGGAAATATGCTCAAAGTAAATGCAAATCGAGATTTTAGAGTGGTTCGGTCAACATGACCTACATCCACTTTCGGCTTCCTCCTCCGACGAGGTCACCAGCATCCACTAGAGGCATTCCTTCAATATGCAAAGGCCAATCACTTTTTACAACTCAATTCTCCTTTTACCGGGTTTAGGAGATAACCCTTACACCCCCACTCACTCTTCTCTCAATCTATTCTAACACTTCGAACTTTGAGAGGAGCTCACACAAGATTGCAGAGCGTTTCTATACTTTTTTACTCTCAATATTTGTGTACTTTAACTAGGGATGAGAGAGGTATTTATAGGCTTCAAGTTGATTCAAACTTGGAGCCTAAAACTTTCTCATCTCGGATTCCCCGGGCATGGGCGGTACCACTGCCTGGGGGGTAGTGCTGGGCGGTACCACCACCCAGACTGGCGGTACCATCGCCAGGCACCCTACCAGGATCGTACAACCGCCTAGACTAGTGGTACCACCACCTGACACTGTCTCAAAGATTGTGCCACGATGGTGAAACTTCTTGGGGCACTGTTTGGGCCTCTTATTAGGCCCAACACAATCCTTACATGGGCCTAGCTAGCCCCTAATTTGGTTGGCCCAAATCCAAACTCAATTACGTGCTAACTACGAAATCCTAAGACATTTGCTAAGCTAAATAAGTCCCTAAGTCTATTCTTCCGGCGAACTTCCGACGAACTCTCGGCAATGTTCCAGCGGACATCCGGCAAGCACCCGAACTTTACGACGATCTTCTTGACGAGTTTCGACGAGCTTCTCTGGCAAGCTCCGAGACTTCTCGGTTGGTTCCTCTAGAACTTCCGACGAACGTCTGAACTTCCGACGAACTCTCGAACTCCCAACATAATCGCGTCCTTGACTCCGAGACTTTATTTTGCTTCATGCCTTACTATCGTAGTTAATCCTACACATGTAAAACATACTTTGATCTAGACAATTAATACTAAGTATTAATCAAGTTGCCCGGCATGTCATTGGTCCCTCGATGCTTAGTCCGATTCTTCAGCGCATCGTCCTCTCTTGCGGCCTATTGCCCAATCGGCCAGTTGACTCAATAACTCCGATATCCTTGGGGCAACATCCGCTCTTCTTGGCCCGATGCCCGAATCCACGGTCCGAAACCTTCTATCGATACGTCAACTGATCCACCGGTCCGACATCCAATCTTTTGACATATTTTCCTCCGGCAGAACATAATTCTTTCTGCTTTAATTATCTTATCTTAATGGAAGCATTCTGCGTCACTCAAAACATAGATTAAAATATAAACACTATCAATTGGTTTCATCATCAAAATATGAGATTCAACACTCTATTATATCTAATATGATCATTATATCTTTACCGAATATTTACTTGCAATATTGTCATTATATTTCTCATACAAATTCATGAATATCGACGTAGAAGAAGTGTTCTCAGCACTTGGGAGAAAGATGATCACTCGAAATGATGTCAAGTACTGGCCGCCGTGGGGGACGATGTGGAGGATGCGGTAGAAGGATCGAAGGCCTCTTGCTCTGCGCAATCCAAATTATCGCCGGAGGACTGGCGGCCGATGCCCATCAGGTCGAGGTAATACTGGTAATGGGATATGATGTTGTTCATGGCATCGATGGAGCCCTGACCACAGACCAAATCCCCGTAGAGAACGTTCATTGTAGCTCCGAATCCAGGCAGCCTTTTCGCCAATGTGTCGTTCTTGGTGGGCTTCCACTTTCCCACAAACACATCGTGGGCGGAAGGCTGCTTCTTCTTCATGGGCGTCATCCACCTGTAGATCGCAGCTTGGAAAGCTAGGGTGGCATTCTGCTCGAGATACTCGGGATGGTTGAGGAGATCAACCTTCAATCCGTCCCCAATGGCTCCGTAGTTGTAGTTCCTGGGTATCATGGACATAGGATCAAACAGTTGGCGATCGTCAACTGCAGCACGGGAACACGAACGCTTGGAGGTACCAGTAAACGGGCAGAGCACCGCGGCCGTAGTAATCGACTCCGGGCGTGCATGGGTAGTCGTAGCTTTGGTCGCAGTAGGACTGGCTCGGGCTCATCTCACGCTTGTAGCACAACCCCCATGCGAGCGGACCACCGGTCGCAACGCCATATCCACCTGCAAGAGAGGCAAGCCGGCCATAGGCAAGTCAGAGCAGAGAAAGAAGAGCACAGAAGGGTTTGGCGGGGTGGATGAGTTCGTGCATGATGTCTTGCTGCCGACGTGGCCGAGGAAGGCGGCGACCTCTTTCATCTGCATCAGCTTGCCGCCGGTGGTGCCGAAGCCGAGCGGCTCGTACACGGCGGCCGCGGTGATGAAGGAGTGGTAGTCCCAGAAGCCGACGGCCTGGGCGACTGGGGCGTTGCGCTTGCTGAAGAGGTCCTCGAACTGGTACACCTGGAAGAACTCCGAGATGGTCTCGTTGCAGCAGTACACGCTCGCCTTGCACTCCCACCCCTTGTCGCAGACCTTCGGCTTGGCCGAGGACGCTGCGTGAGCGCACGCGGCCGCCACCAGCAGCAGCATCCACACCTCCGGCGACAGTCTGTTCCCTGCCATTGTGTCTGCAACCGATGGAGACTTAGCTTTGGACGGGGAAGAGATGACGATGAAGGATACATGAGAGGAAGAAGATATACGAGAGAGAGGAGAAAGGAAAAGAGGGTGGAGAGGTGGCATCAAGATGGCAGCATCTGAGCTGCTGCTGGGCCGTCCGGTGTAGCTTTGCTTAGAGTGGAAGGGGGGCGAAAGCTGGTCAGAGGTTTTGCAGTGTAAATGATGGCAAAAGGATGTAATATCCATCATCTTCTACACTTGTATTGGAAGCATTCTCTATTCTTTTTCTTGGATTACTTAAAGAAAATAATATTATTTTTATATCAAAGAAAATAGGATGAATTTTCGAGAAAAATCTCTTCTTTTTTTGGATTTTTTTTCTTAATAAGTGTCACCATTTCTAGAATTTTCTAACAACATCCTTTTTTATTTAATACCTAGAATATCTATCCATTTTCTTCTTTTTCATATAGATTTGTCTATAGGATAGGATGAATCAATCTAGTCACAATTTTTTTGTATTATGTTTTAATATTTTTAATAATATAAAAAATACTATAATATAGTATAAAAGTATTATGTTATAATATTTTTTATTGTGCTATAATGTTAACATAATATTTCATTGTAATTTATACTGTGTTCCCAAATGTTCGACGAAATGCGTGTGAAGGGAATAGATGATGTTGTTGAACGAAGGTGCTCTTCCTGTTCTTGCATTCTTTGCAGTGAGAACATCGAAGAAGATTCTTCTTGTTTTGGCCTCGAATGAGTCGATGTGAAAAGCTCACCACATTGTGCGGCAAAGGAAGAGAGATGGTAAATCCTTGTCAGTCGAGGCAGCAGGTCACGCATTGAGTCCTGAAGTAGAGTTTAAGCTTGCAGAACTCGGACCTACACGCAAACCAGTGACCATTTTGCCAGTGATGAGAGGAGTGATCCCATCGCATGGTTTCTTGTTGCTTGAGCATCGATAACTCATCACATGAAAGAACAGAAATAGAACTTTCATGCAGATTAATGGTTGCTGGGAATGCATATCAGCAGATTAATGGCTCCTTGGCACTTTCATGAAGAGCCAGAGAAGCTTTCACTGATCTACCACGAAGTCCATGTCCTACCGAACCAGAGCAGGACATGGCACCTGATCCCAACCCATTTATACACACACCCTTAACAGCAGAGTTGCAATGAAACATCCCATGTTCAGCCGATTCAATTGCAAGATTCTTGTCAAGAGCTGGAAGAATGGGAAGGCATGTGTTGGAGAGAAGTCCGATGCGGAGTTCGCAAGGGAAGAGCTCGCTGTCGAGGCACCTACAGAGAGTGTACCCGCTCGGCATTCAGAAGAGTTGCTCGATTCTTAGCCTCTCGTCTCTTTCCCTGTCGCAGAATTCAAATGCATCTTCCCTCAACAGTTCCATGTCCAGTTGGGACCCCAAGATCCCGGTGTCGGTCCACAAGCTCTTCAGCTCCTGGGAGAACTCGGAGCTCTTAGCTGGTGTCATCGGCAAGGGAACACTGGGACTCGATAGGTTAGGGTCTTCGGAAGGCAGGGAAGCTTCGGCGGATGATGAACTCAACAAGGAGGTGGAGTGTGCCGAGCCTGGGAGTTTGAAGAGGTGTAATTGGATTACCCAATCCAGTGGTAAGCTACCATCAATCCAATCCACCTATAACATGAAATGTTCATGATCTTACAAACTTAGAATTCCAAATTGCGCGTTCTATCGGCAGATGAAGTGTATGTTTCGTTCCATGATGAGTGTTGGGGTGTCCCAGTTTACGATGACAAGTAAGCATTCTAACCTCAACATCTGCAAATCTTTTGTGGACTTTAAGAGCCGAAATATTGATTAGATGTGATCGTTTACAGTCAGCTCTTTGAGCTGCTTGCGATGTGTGGAATGCTCATCGATCACAGCTGGACTGAGATTCTGAAGAGAAGAGAGATGTTCAGGTCTCCACTCGACGAGTCTAATCTGTGATCTCATGTTCGTTGCCTTCTCCCATGCTATTGCTGATGAACATTTGGTTGATGCAGGGAGGCCTTTGCAGCGTTCGATCACATTCTGGTTGCCAAGATGGAGGAGAAGGAGATCATGGAAATAAGTTCCACCAAGGAGCTCATGCTGGCAGAGTGTAGGGTGAGATGCATCGTAGACAATGCCAAGTGCATGCAAAGGGTGAGGCGCCGTCATAGAGTAGCACAAATCGTCCTCCATTAGCAAGCTAAAAATCTGACACACAGATGAAACACTCGACGACAGTAATCATTTCAATCCATTTGTGTGTTGATTCTTCTTCTTCTTCTTTCCGCAGGTGGCCAAGGAATTTGGATCCTTCAGTGCGTACATATGGGGTCATGTGAACCGCAAGCCCATGGTGAACAGACACAAGTATCCGAGAATTGTTCCTCTGAGGACGCCGAAATCGGAAGCCATCAGCAAGGATTTGGTGAGAAGGGGGTTTCGCCTCGTCGGGCCGGTGATCGTCTACTCCTTCATGCAAGCTGCAGGAATAGCCATGGATCATCTCGTCGACTGCTTCCGGTTTGGTGACTGTGTGAGACTTGCAGAGAGATCATGGGGCCTCTCTAACTTGGCTATGTGACCAGTAGGATTGACAGCAGAGTGTTCTTCTTCTTCTTCTTCCTCCTTTTCTTCTGCAAAGTTTAGAGTGATTAGCATGAGATTGCTTTCACTTTGGTGTTGGAAATAGCAGTACTGTGAAGCTTAGATCTTATTAAGCTTAGTGTTATATCACAATCAGAGAGTTTTAAGATTCCATAGATATGAATACCATCATGGATAACTGCTTTGTGTTGATTCTTGAAGACAATGATAGTAAAACTTTCAATCTCTTATATAGATGTTCAACTTGTTCAATCCATTCTTTTGGCTATCGAACTGACATCAAGTAATTACCAGAGTTGATACCAAAGTTGCTGGCCTTCAGCTGAGATGAACTGTTCTTGCAGAAATTTGACATGTTGATCTCCATCAACTCCATCTTTGCCATATCTTCATATTTTTAAGGTTGATAACTATTGATACATATGTAACCCCAGTTGGAGACTACTGTTCAGAGTTGCATTGAGAGATCAGCAGTGGCATAGGATGCTGATAAAGTGATTTCATATGAATCAGTACATGACATAAAATAGATACTTAATTCATTATGCAGAGAATCTATTGATACTGGTGAAGTATAAAATGGGAGATACATCACCCCTGTAAGATCTTCCAAACTGTTGAAGTGTGATTGGGAGGTGTTGACACTGCTCGAGACTGAATCGTTCTGACCATGGCAACCCTAAATTTAATTGCAATGTCTCAGATGAGAGTGACAGTGAAGAAGGCATTGGCAAGAAGATTAAACAAGTATGACACAAAGCTACTTAATGCTTTCAGTGCCTTTCTGCAAGAAGTGGTCATAGATTCTTGATAGCAAATTAGGTTTCCTGATTTCTATGATAACCTCAGTTCCAATAGAATGCTTTCTAGGAATTCATGGAAACACTTAAATCCAAGCTCACAGCAAATATAGAAATTGAGGGAAACCTGGATTATGCACTTGAATTGAAGATGATTCATCTTCCTTTGGAAACAAATGATCCCCTGTTTACATGAAATCCATGGAAAAATAAAGTCTTCAAATTAACATCTACAGGATTGACCAAATGGTATCATGACCAAAGTCATTTGAGAAAGATGTGGTTCACATATGTAATAAATGCAAAATCTGATGCAGGAAATCTAGTTTAAAAGAAATACAAATTTAAGATTTTGGAAACTCACTTAACCAAGAATTGTCTTTTTCACAACCTGGAAGCAAAGCAGCCTGAACTCACCTTCCCTCGATTGCAGATTTGAAGCCTTTGAGTCTATATATGAACGGCACTGTCATTGTTGGAAACCCACTGATGATGTAGCATCACATTATAAACCTAAAGAAACATGAACAATCTGCGTAGCAACACATTAAACAATCATCATCCTCTTGCACTAAAACTATTGATTTTAAAATACTTATTTACCTATTCCTATCTTCCAAAATGGCATTTAGTACGAGACAGGTACGCTACGAAGGCCATCTGTTTCGAATAAAAGACACTTGAATACCATGGTAACAGTTATACAAAGACGTAGCAACCTCAACATACAAGAAAGGTCACCTTAGTCGGAATCCCCAAACTATGTCATTGACCCACGATGATCTTATTCTAAATCTGTCATTCACCATTATCTGCACTACTGGTGACAGCATAAAAGACGATGACAGCAACCGACCAAGACGTTGCATCTTCCATATGTCTCCTACTCAAAACTGGCAAGAAGTGCCTAGCCTCTGCCTCTGCCTCAGGCCAGAAGCACCACACTTCCGACCATGGAATGCATTTTGCAGCAACTCCTGGAACTTCTCAAGGAATGCAGCCCACTCTGACTCTCCCATGTCTGACAGCTTCATGAAGCTAGCACTTGCCGGAAGCTGCTCATTTGCACTCCCGTACCCACCCTTAAACCTGCTGCTCCCACCACCGATATTAGTTTTACTACTAGAGGGCTTCAATTTTGGAACACCAGCTGGATACCACTGACTCTTGTCGGCAATGCGAACACCCTTCAATGATGTGGATAACTTTGAAACTTTTGGAAGATGATCCCAAACAGATAGGGAGCAAGAACTTTTTTCAACATTGCCAACTTCGTTGTCATCACCAACATCCTCTTCCAAGCTCTCTAGCTTCGAAAGTGGATTTCTGGAACTGCCCCCCTTGAATCCAAAGTTACAGGATGGTGCTGCTTTTGGCGTCATTGTATGAGCATCTTCACAGTCAATGTCAAACTGTATCATATCATCATCTACATTATCAGGTTCAGGAGAAAAAACTTCTCTTTCTGCCACCAACCTTCTTGCCTCTATGCAGACAACCTCCAGCTCGCTTGGCTCCTCTTCCATGCCTCTGAATTCCCTGCTCATCATCTCACCAATCTCTGCTAGACAAAATCCAAATGCAGCTGCTTCCTTGAGAAAAATTGTTGAGAGGACCAACACCCGAAGGCATGCTTCTCGGATCATAGGCAACTCCATGCGAAGCATCTCAGAGTCCCTCACTGGATCAAGGTTGGCGATGTACTCAAGCTCTTCCTCGGAGAAAGGGATTGATGATTGTGGCCAGTGGATCCATTCAAAATAAGGATCCTCCAAATTCTCGGGCAAGCAGAGACCATGATCTATAGGAATTAATTCCATCTGAGCCCCAAACTTACCATCCCCACCATCAATTTTCCTCACCAAAAGGTTTCCCGCATGCCTGTCCGTGTTGAAGATTCTAACATCAAGTATCCCAATCTTGTGGACAGCCACCACAGAGAAGCTTGAGGTTCCATGGTCACTAGCATCAAAGTCATGAGAAATATACTGCTGGAATGATGCAATCTTGCTGGCAACATTTGTCTTTGTACAGTAAGATTTAGTACTACCATTGCAATTAATGCCTTCATTCACATGAAATACTGAATGTGTGATCTTGATAAGGGCTGTTGGAGGGACATTGGCAAAGTGATTATAGTCCAGGAGGTATGCTGCAACCTCCCTGAACCCAGTCTCACCAACTCGCACAGACCTTTTCAGCCCTGGTTGCCCAAGGGATTTCCCAACAAACCCTTTTGGATTATTTGGTGCAAATGGCTCCTCATCTGTGGGCTTCACAATGGCAATGTTCACACCTTTTTTGTTCCGGAAGTAGTATGCACCACCAAGCCCACTGTGAACTGGTATCGGATCAATACCACTGTTAATAGCCTTCACAGCATCCTTAACAAGTAGTTTTATCTTATTACAGTGGCTTGAACATCCTAAAATTTCAATTGGACCACTCTGATCCCTTTGCTGAAGGTCCTTCCCAGTCGGTGATAGGCATGGAGTGGAGGAACTCCTGTGCAGGAAATTCCTTGTGAGTAGCAATGGGGAATCATTTCGCACAGCACTGAGATCATTTTTCAACACGAGGTCACCAAATGTGAGAGAACTCTCCTCGGTTGGCACATTGAGAGCTAGCTGTAATCTCCTTTTCACAGTGTGGACATTGTCCTCGCGATCCAGTTCAATGCCCAAGACAAAGCCTGTCTCTGTCTGGACAAACACACGCCTCCGTGCACCTGGCTTTCCTTCACTTTTGGGGTTTCCAGGGTAGTCACTGCTGAAGGTGCGATTCAAGACTGCAACCGCCATCTGGGTCTGAACAGGGCTGTCCACGTTAGGAGACATGGAGTGGGGAGGATGCTGGGTTATCAAAGTGAGAGGCAGAAGCAAGTAGGATGGACTTCCTCTTTCTCTTCTTCTCCCTTGGGTGCACGCCGAACACAGAGGCTGATGCAGTTACAGAGAGAAGAAGATACGGTGCACGATCGACCATGAAGCGAGCAATGGATGTTGGAAAACTACCAGTTCCTTAAAAGCAGTGTCGAGCAAGGAATGAAAGCAAAAAAGACGGTCTGATCTCCCCTACTGAGAGGAAGCCATTGCTTAAGGGTTGATGTAAAGAATCAAAACCTGTCAAAGAAAATATCAGACTGTTATGATATTAGAAACAACAAGATCTAAACTAATTTACAGATAACACTATTTTGCATGTCAATTAACATGATGCTAAAACAAGCGCTTTTCCACGGTTGATAAATTAATAGTTGGAGGGGGAAAAGTAACTAAACTTTCATTTTTTTTTTATATTCATCCACAATCTACAAAACCTAGTAAAAGGTAAGAGCACAACAACAGTTGGAGGGGGAAAAGTAACTAAACTTTCAATTTTTCTATATTCATCCATAATCTACCAAACCTGATAAAAGGTAAGAGCACAACAGAAACAATATATTTCAACAACAACAGAGAAAAAATCGTTTATGGTAAAAAGATACAAGAATTTGCAAGGAGAATCCTTTTTTTAGTTGTTACTGATGGTAAGTAGCGAAGAAAATCCAAGGAAGCGTACGTACAGGAAACTACCAACTTGACGTGCAATTATTTTCCGAAACCAAACAATCTGTTCATGTTCTTGCTCCAATACATGTACATGCGTACAACAAAAGCAACAAACGGAGAACAACCCAAAGTATTTGCAGAAAGACAAAGTCGTAACAGTGAGATTCCCCAAAGAGAAAGGGAACAGTGAGTGATGATCGGCATCAGAAAATACTTTAAGAAGTGAGAAATATAGATGCAAGAAAACATCAAATTGTTATCCCCAAAGCGTCTACAAAGTTGTTGCAGAATCAAAGGCCTCGAAAACCCATCTTTCTTGGAAATAAAGAGAAAAAATCGATTTTTTTTACCATACGAAAGAAACAAAAGAAGTAATCGGTACACTTTTGAGAAAATTATGAAGCAATTGCAACAAATTGCATGAACTAAGTAGTGATTACTCTCGTACTAAAAAATAGATCTAATCACATAACAACAGATGGAAAAAAAATGGCTAGCCACATCGAACCCAAAACCCTACCATTCCCAACGACGAATCTATTCCAACCCATGAGGTTCATTCATAATGCCCAAGAACTGAACGAGAAAACGAAGAAAACCGCAGAAGCTTTCCAAGAGCCGACTAGTGTCCGGTCTAGCGAACCGTACAGGTCGATGCAAGATCCAAAAAGGAAGACGAAGATAAGGAGGAGATCTCGCGCAGAACTCACCCCCCAACCAAACGAGCGACGGATCCGGGATATCGGGCGGATCTGACACCCGGCGACGGAGATCTGGCCGGAAAATGGGGCGGAGCTCGACT